CTAACATATATTGATGGTGAAGGTAAAATGCATAGGGTCAGCAAAGGTGCACCAGAACAGGTAAAGTCATCAGCAGTAAATTTATTTTGATGGTTTTGGCTTATCATTTGAAGTAATTCATGTCTGTGATTTGATTATTAGATTTTGAATCTTGTACATAATAAATCAGAGATAGAGCAGAGAGTTCACACTGTAATTGATAAGTTCGCAGAAAGAGGATTACGATCTCTTGCTGTAACTTACCAGGTATATTTGCATTTTTGTTTCTGTGTCCTATTTTGAAGTCATTCTGATAATATTTTTTTTAACTTTATTCTTATGATTATATCAATCTTGACCATCTTCCCAAATCAATGTGCAGGAAGTTCCTGATAGAAGGAAGGAGAGTGCAGGTGGTCCATGGCAATTTATCGGCCTCCTGCCTTTGTTTGATCCACCCAGACATGATAGTGCTGAAACAATACGTAGGGCATTGAATCTTGGAGTAAATGTGAAAATGATCACGGGTGCATAACCTCTCTCTCTCTTTCTCTCTCTCTTCATTGGCTGTTCATGAACTTGACTTCTTCAATGTCACTAGGTGATCAACTGGCAATTGCAAAGGAAACAGGACGCCGCCTGGGAATGGGAACCAATATGTATCCTTCATCATCCTTGTTAGGGCAAAACAAAGATGAGTCTATTGCTGCTTTGCCTGTTGATGAGCTGATTGAGAAAGCAGATGGTTTTGCTGGTGTTTTTCCTGGTATTTTTTTCTTTGTCTTTTTATCCTTGAAAACTCTGAAATATTAGGAATTTGTTTTCCCATGTTTTGAGACACTGCCTGGGACCTTGGAAAACATTCATCTTGAATTGAATTTTGAGCATGCTTCTTCTCGTGTCCTTCATTGTTTGAATGGATTCCTTTTATTGTTGGAACAGAACACAAGTATGAGATTGTGAAACGATTGCAAGCTAGGAAGCATATATGTGGAATGACTGGTGATGGGGTCAATGATGCTCCTGCACTCAAGAAGGCTGACATTGGTATAGCAGTCGCCGATGCAACTGATGCAGCTCGTAGTGCCTCTGACATTGTCTTGACAGAACCTGGTCTAAGTGTTATTATTAGTGCTGTACTAACTAGCCGGGCAATATTCCAGAGGATGAAAAATTACACGGTTAGTCTATTTTACTGCTTGATCTTTTAAGTGGTAATATCTCTGTATACTTGATGATTAACCAGATTGTATGAGATCTTTCATATAAGCACTCGATCTCTTTCTTCTTGCAGATATATGCAGTCTCCATCACAATTCGTATTGTTGTAAGTTCTTTAGTATTAGCTTTGATATTGCATCATTTCTCTTGTTTGGCTTACTTTCTAATATACTGCCAGCAAGCTATCAATATCTGTTCGTTTCATGTCAATATAGCTTAAGAAACTGACTTTGTTCTACCATTAAACAATATCTCTTTATGGGCACAGCTTGGTTTCATGTTACTGGCCTTGATATGGCAGTTTGACTTCCCACCCTTCATGGTGCTGATTATCGCAATTCTTAATGATGGTTTGTATTGTGTTACATTTCTTCAGAATTCTGCAAGCACATTCTATTATTACTAAGAATGTCGGATTCTCTAATATGATCATTGGTATGTGAATTGTGAGTAGGTACCATAATGACAATATCAAGGGATAGGGTAAAACCCTCTCCCCAGCCAGACAGCTGGAAGTTGGCTGAAATCTTCACAACCGGAATTGTTCTTGGTGGTTACCTGGCAATGATGACAGTCATTTTCTTTTGGGCAGCATACAAGACGGACTTCTTTCCTGTAAGGCAATTTATTTTCAGCATTAAAATATATTCCCAAATTAATGTCGAACATAGAAATCATAAGTTAAGACTTTCAGAGCTTTTCATCTCTCTGCCTCAATTATTGACTTTCTAGCCCTCTTTTTGGTTTTCATCAATATAATCTTTTGTGTGAAATTCATTTCTAAGATAACCAATGACCAATATTAACCATAATAGGTTTACATGTTGAAACTTGGATGCTTTTGCTTTTGATCCATGAGCTATATTCTTTTCCGTGATGCATCTTTTTCAGATACCGTCTGATCTCTTAGTCTGAAACTGTAAATTTCAGCGCACATTTGGGGTTTCAAGCCTTCAACAAAGGAATGTTGCTTTTAATTTTAGAAAGCTTGCCTCAGCAATTTACCTCCAAGTGAGCACTATTAGTCAGGCCCTCATATTTGTAACGAGAGCAAGGAGTTGGTCTTTTGTTGAGCGTCCTGGCCTCTTACTTGTAACGGCTTTTGTGGTTGCTCAGCTGGTTAGTGAATTACTGATCCTTTTGTCTGTAGTCTTGAGTTTTATCATGAAATTCATTGATCACCTTGTTCCATGAGCAGATTGCAACACTGATAGCTGTCTATGCAAGCTGGAGCTTTGCTGCTATAGAAGGGATTGGATGGGGTTGGGTGGGTGTCGTTTGGCTTTATAACCTTATATTCTACATCCCACTTGATTTTATCAAATTCTTCATCCGATATGCTCTGAGTGGGAAAGCTTGGGATCTAGTCATTGAGCAAAGGGTATGAATTTAATTAACGGTAGAGTTACTTTTGTGGGCAACGAAACTTACTGAATCTTTATGATTGATTTTGTATTTGTTCTTTTTTCAGACTGCCTTCACTAGGAAAAAGGATTTTGGGAAGGAAGAACGTGAGCTTAAATGGGCACATGCACAGAGAACCCTCCATGGACTACACCCTCCGGAAACCAAGATGTTTAGCGACCGTAACAGCTTCGCAGAACTTAATCAGATGGCTGAGGAGGCAAAGAGACGTGCTGAAATAGCAAGGTATGCATACACTCCAACATTAAAGCTAATCCCATGCATCTTCATCCTGTTAAATGATTTGCATTATTCTAACTGCTTAAATTTTCTATACTCAAATACATTCGGTCAATTTGATTAAGTTCATTCATTCGGGCTTACTTTGAAGGAACATAGTTTTCTGTTTGCAGTCTTGGAATTCTAAGTTGGGATTTCTACCATTTCTTGTATAATACCATGAAATGGATTGCTAGTTTTGATTTTGCATTCCAAACTTCGTTGAAGAATGAACAAGCAGCACAGATGCCATGGCATCACCCCATTTAGCATTTTCAGATTAGAGTGAGATTTGCTTTCTGGCAAAGGAGGGTGTGCATATGCTAATGTCCATTCTTTACATTTGTCTTTTGCAGGCTAAGAGAACTGCATACGCTGAAAGGACACGTTGAATCAGTGGTTAGGCTGAAGGGTCTCGACATAGACACAATTCAGCAAGCATACACTGTCTAAGAAACGTTTTGTGTGTATACCATGTGATTATTAGTACTAGATTCCGTGTAGTGAGACTACTTCTAGTTATCATCTAATGTACAAATAGTTTTCAGTCTACATAAATCCATCATCTTTTCGAAAGGAATCAAACTTTGCCTGTTTGCGATGCCTTTTATTCCTTTCTCTTATTCTCATCGCATTTCAACCTCTGCCTCACCTGTCTTCTTATTAGAAAGTGTTGGGGCAAATACAGAAGGAAAAGATGGGGCAACTCTTTTTAACCTAGAATTTACATTCTATTTGGTTCGAGGGAAGGAAAAGGGAGGAGAGGTGATGAAAAGTAATTATAACTAATCAAATTAGTTTGTTAGTCCAATGATTTAATTTGATTGGTTGAAATAAAGCCAACTCCCTCTTCCTCTATTTCCTTTCCTTGCATCTGTTTTTCTCAAACCCAATAAGTTATAAAGGTATATATGTATGGTTGAAAGTAATGATTATTCTCTAATCAAATTATGAATATAAGATTAAAATTGTGAAATTTTGTTGGGTCGTTAGGAATTTGTATTATTTAATAATTCAAATTATAAAATATAAATTATAATTATGAAACTTTCGTGAGAAGTTAAAAATATATGTTTATATGTGTTTTACATAACTATTACCAAAGGTTAAGGAAGTCATCAAGGAATAAAATATTTTCTTAATCATTTAATAGAAATTATAATTACTAAAAATATTTATTTATGTCAACGACCTAAATAATTTAGTGGTTATCGTTTTTTCTTTGGAATAAAAAGTCCTGATTTCGAGTCGTACAGTATATGAGTGCAATGGAATATTAATAAGGAATGAAAGATGATTGTTTTTTATTGTGTGATAAAAAATATATATATATTTATTCACAATTTCTTAAAATGCTTCTCAATTTTACATTATTTTAGAATTTGAGCAAGGAATATTTATAACTTCCAAGTCCCAATAATACATAACCTAAAAGACACTTCTCATTTTCATCGATGAGTCATGTCTTGATATCTAATCTGATCTTAAGTAGGCCTCTTGTTCTGGGAAATGGCTTCAAGGCAATTGACTAAAACTCTGTAGAAGGCTTCCTCACTAATAAAAGAGGGCTCGGTCTTGTTTAGCTCCTCCCCCCACCCCTTCCCCTCACAAGTTTAACCATCTGTTCCTATCCTATAAAAAATAGGTCTCTTGTTTTCAAGAAATTCTTAAAATAGAGTGTGGAAAACTCATATCTTTTGCATGCAGTTGAATGGTGCCTGCTGCACACACATAGAGAGCAAGCATGTAGAACGATCAGGGAACGAAAACAAAGCTTATAGTATCATTTTGTCATCAAAGCTACGAAATTCATGGTCCATATAACTGTTAAAACAAAGAATAAAAACTTACACCATCAAACCACGAGACACCAAATTGCTTACCACAGTAAATTCAAGAACAAAAGATCAAACATGGTTTATCTTTATGTTGTCACCAACGGTTGTCCATGCACCAAAAGTTATATATGTACCATATATATTTGACAAAGTTTAAAAAATAACTTATTTAAAAGTAAAGTTTTCCCTTATAAATTTAATAATTTTTTAAAAATTTACACATCTAAAATTTAAACTTATTTAAATATTATTTTAAAAATTAATTCTAAGCTTCGCTCTAAAAAAATATTAAATTTATGGGGAGAAAGTTTATTTTTTAAAGTACATTAAGTGTTTTAAGCTTTGCCAAGCAAAAGCTTATCATTTGTTTTTCAAGCAGCAGCCTCAAGAGCTCCTTCCCTTTCTTCACCAGCACAAACGTCGGCATCGCCTTCACCCCAAATTGCTGCGACACATCCTACACTCAATAAAACCCAAAAATTAAAATTCTGTATCAATCGAGTCTACTCATGAAGAAAAGTCAGACTTACAGGTAAATCATCAACATCGATCTTTACGAACTCAACTTCAGTGAACTTATTAGCCATGGCATGCACCACCGGCTCCATGAACTTGCAAGGTCCGCACCATGAGGCAGCAAAATCAATCACCATCTGCACTCAATTTCATCCAGAATTCAAAAACAAGATATTCAATCTCAGAAAATCAAAAGGGTGTGTGTGTGTGTGAATAGATTGTACCAGTTTTGGATTTTCTTTGGCGGAGTTGAAGTGGAGCTGCCATCCGGCTGATGAGTGAAACGTCACGATGCGAGAAGATTCCGATGACGATGCCGATGCCGATGCAACCCCTCTGCATCGGAACAATCTCGAAAGGAAAGAACCCATTTTCTTCTTCCCCTTTTCCTCTCTCCAAAGATGAGAAAGAACACAAATTGAGACAATGTTTTGTTGAAGCTTCGATTTATCTTATGGTGGATGGAAAGATAAGAAAGAATCCAAAACGCAGACAGCAAAATACTGTTGCAGATTCGATTTTTTTTAAAGATAATTTAACAACTACTCCGAGCAAAAATTGATTCCATTCCATTGCACGTTTTTCAGTGCGGTCACTTAGCACAGTTGTAATACTAATTTTGATTCTGTTCGTGTTGTCGTCGACGAAACGTGGAGTACATTGGCGCTGTTATTTCTACTTCGGTAACTTAAAACTGTGTCCATTGACATGTATTAATTACAATCGAATCCCCTTACTTTGTTTCAAGTTTCCTCCTTTTTGCATCGGAGGAAGAACAAGAAGATTAAAAGCACAATCTTTAATTACGATGAACAAAGTAATGAAAATTTACTACTTGCTGCTGAATAGTTGACTCGTTTAATTCAGATTTTAAGTTACATGTGTAATGGCAGTACAATTATATTTAAGATATTTATTTTAGCGTTTTAAAAACAGTTTACTTTAATTAGATAAATTAAATATTATTGAGATAGGTAACATATTGTCAATGGCTTATGTTGCCTATTAACTATGAACTGTATTTGAACACACTAATCCAAGCATCCGTTAACTAGATTGATCATGTGTTCACGTCCCACTAACCCTACCCATCCCCTTAAGCAAAAAAACTAAAAATAATTGTCACAATTAAAAAAAAAAGCTGACTAGTTTTATTTACTTACATAATTGTTAATCAGGACAATACTTCTAGCCTTTGGCGGCTTGGTTCTTCCTAATTTTCACTTTTGTAGTTTAATTCAGACAAAATGCTTTCCTTTTTCCCCTGCAGTGTTCTTCAATTCAATGGCACTTTCACCTTCTCCTTTGTATCTGTAGCACTGAGCACAGACCAAGAAATAACCAAAGTTCAGGAATCCTAAAGCAGCAATCATGTAATAGAAATAATCAAGTTTCCCTCTGTTAAGATCCTCTGGCAACCAATCCCCTGTTTGAGTTCTTGAAGTAAAATGGTGGACAATGGAAACCAGAAATCCACTCAGGTAACTAGAAACGGTAGCCCCACAGAAGAAGAAAGAACCACCGACGCTCCTCATGTTTTCTGGGAACAGCTTGTAGTACAATTCGATCGGGCCAATGCTGTTGAAACCCTCGCAGAGTCCGACGAGAACTAGCTGAGGGATTAGCCATAGACCGGACATGGATGATATAGCGTCTCCCATTGGTGAAATTCCGAAGGTTGGCTCTGTGAGAGCCAGGTTCCTTCTTTTCTCCTCGATCAAGCCGGAAACAAGCTATCAATATCTGTTCGTTTCATGTCAATATAGCTTAAGAAACTGACTTTGTCCTACCACTAAACAACCTCTTTATGGGCACAGCTTGGTTTCATGTTACTGGCCTTGATATGGCAGTTTGAATTCCCACCCTTCATGGTGCTGATTATTGCAATACTCAATGATGATTTGTATTGTGTTACATTTCTTCAGAATTCTGCAAGCGCATTCTATTATTACTTAGCATGTAGGATTCTCTAATATGATCATTGGTATGTGAATTGTGAGCAGGTACCATCATAACAATATCAAAGGATAGGGTAAAACCCTCTCCCCAGCCAGACAGCTGGAAGTTGGCAGAAATCTTCACAAGCGGAGTGTTCTTGATGGTTACATTTCTTCAGAATTCTGCAAGCACATTCTTTGGACTTCTTTCCTGTAAGACAAATTTTTTTCAGCAATATCTATAGATTCCCAAATTAATGTCGAACATGGAAATCATAAGTTAAGACTTTCAGAGCTTTTCATCTCTCTGCCTCGATTATTGACTTTCTAGCCCTCTTTTTGGTTTTCATCAATATAATCTTTTGTGTGAAATTCATTTCTAAGATAACCAATGAAAATATTAACCATAATAGATTTACATGTTGAAACTTGCGTGCTTTTGCTTTTGATCCTTGAGCCATATTCTTTTCTGTGATGCATAGTTTTCAGATACTGTCTGATTTCTTAGTCTGAAACTGTAATTTCAGCACACGTTGGGGGTTTCAAGTCTTCAACAAAGGGACATCGATTTTAATTTTAGAAAGCTTGCCTCAGCAATTTACCTCCAAGTGAGCACCATTAGTCAGGCCCTCATATTTGTAACGAGATCAAGGAGTTGGTCTTTTGTTGAGCATCCTGGCCTCTCACTTGTAACGGCTCTTGTGGTTGCTCAGCTGGTTAGTGAATTCGTGATCCTTTTGTCTGTAGTCTTGAGTTTTATCCTAAAATCCATTGATCACCTTGTTCCATAAGCAGAGTGCAACGCTGATAACCGTCTATGCAAGCTG